TATTCAAAATAAATTTTGAATAAATGAAAGATATTTGTAGAAATTGAGTCCCAAAACTATTTTGTGTGTCAAACGATGTACACAAAAATATTTGAATAAAATATTTTTACTTACCAAAAATATTTTATAATATCAAAATAAATATTTGATAAATGTTTGGCACACCTTTTGTAACTGACTCAATAAAACTATTTTGAACAGTTAAAAAGATTTATCAACTGACTCCAAAAATAAATATAATTTTTATTTTAACTCTCATAAAAATAATTTTGGAGAGAAGATATTTTTGTTATCCTTACAAAAATTCCTACCACTCAAATAAATAAAAGTCTTCGGAAATCTTCTACTCCTTCGAGTCCTCCGTTAGGCGCTTCGAACGCGTCTTGGACTCCAATAAAATCCTGTGCACCTTCTTGAATACTTCAAGGAATGGCACTTCAAGTCTTCATGTTTGTCGTTGTAGCACTTTGATCTTGACTTGAATAAAGTGTGTTTGTCAATTATCAAAACCTGTGAGTCGCTGTTTCGGCGATCCATTTTTTCCGGCGAGAGCTCCCCTCTTGGCGATTTCAGCGATCAGCTTTGCAGTTTCGGCGATCTATTTTTTCCGGCCACCATGGCCGGCCAACGGCCGCTGGACCCCTCCCATCATCCTCCTGGCGTCCAGCCGGTTCTTTTAAGCCATCACACGCCGGAAACAGCCGCTGGAAACGTCCCCGTCGCTGCTGCGATCTCCAGCTCTTTGCCCCCATTTTTTCCGGCGTATTCCGGCCACAGCGACGTCCCAGCTCTCTTCCAGTCACTTCCTGGTGGTCAAACGATTCTGGGAAGCCATTTTGCAGGTCCATCCGTTGCTGGAGTAGTGAGATCGCACCCCACAACCATGGCGGGTCTCCAGGTCGGGTTGCCTTCTTTCTCCATCCTTTCCGGCCAATCCAGCGTCGCGCCCCATGCCCAATCGTCTTCCTATGTTCAGACGAACCAAATAAGCCAAACCCCAGCAATTTTGGTGCCCGGAGGCCTGAGCTCTCCTTCTAGTGCGTCCACTGTTGGAGTTGTGCCCTGATGGCCAACTGTTTATCGTTATTCTATCATGTATAGGCAGATATAATATGTTTACACATCTCATGCTAATGTAAACAAATATTATATTCCTAGATTTATATTTAAAAGATGTTTATCAGATAGTGTTCTTCTGCTGATGAGACTAACATCTTGAAATAAATATTTATCTAAATGTCCATAGTCGAGTATTAACGAGAGTNCGAGAGTGGGATATCGTTAATGCATGTGAGACTAGTGTGTGTTGGATGTTTGACTTAGTCTCATAGTCAATGACGGTGTGTTCGCATCCGCACATGGGCAGATATTATCTAGAGATAATAGGATGCCGGACTGACCCATCCTAAAGATGTTGCTTGAACTTTTAGTTCATGCTCTAAGCATCTTTAGCGCGACCACGGGTGTAACTATCCTTCGACTTGAAGTATTACGTTTTCTGCATATGTGAACCCGCATGCTTTGATGCATTGTCCTAAGCCATATGAAATAAGGATGGTATACAGGCTTTGTTTTGGGTATGCCGCAGCGCGTATTCAGAAACGTAGATTACGTACATAGGATTTGTCAGTACTCTTTTTAAAGAGATTAATGTCTTATGGGGCCCACTGATAAGTTATGACTAAGGAAATTGCATGGCCATGCTGAGATGCTTTTATGACGTCTGTTCCTATTAGTCAAGCTTGATAAATCAGTGAATGACTTAATGGATACAAGTTGGATTTTATTAATCCCTTGCATTAAGTGTAGGCATTGAGACAAAGGGATACAGTTACACGGAGTCTGAGTCGTGGAAAGGTTTTGACGGTGCAAACGTCTTAACTTATAATCTGGGGGCAATAATGTGTTGCTAGATACCGCTTATTGCTTATAGGATTGGTGCAGAGCCAATACTATGGCCAGCTTTATAAGTGCCTATACGGGTCACACACTTTGGACAATTTAAGGAGTAGGATTAAACAATGGGATAATAAGTAATTTGTATATTTGTAAAAATAGTAAAATAAAATATTTTGGAAAGTAATATTATATATATATAAATATTCGGTTATATATATTATATATATGTGCCGATTATATATATATGTTATATGTTGAATATTTTATTTTGTTTTGTCATTTTAATTACGAAAATAATTATTTTGACATAAACTATTTAAAGTATATTTGTATACTTGTTTAAAAATGATGTTGGTATTTTATTTGATTTAAAATTAATTTTATATTAATTTTTGGTGTCAAATAAAATATACTTTAAACATTTGAGTGGAGAAGAATTTCACAAATCCTTCTCATATCATTGTTCGGCCAAGTGAAGATTTTAAAGGATCAAATTTATATGATTGAAATTAGTGGAGCTAATAATGTTTTAACCTTTAGCTTAATGACAAAGTATGATTAATCAATTTGTAATCTTTGTTTTTTAAATAACACGGCAATTCCATTTTAAAGAGTGAGGATCATCAATTGATTACTTAAGCATACTTAAGCATACTTTCGGCCATTGTATTTCTAGTGAGAGAAAAATATTATTTTGGTTCCATTAATATCATTTTGTGTATAGAAAATATCTATAATATTTTCTAAATATTATTAGAAATATTTTCTATAGAAATATTTTCTATAGAAATATACAAGATTATTATTATCCCAAATTTTAATCTTTACATTTTATACTACTATAATCTTTACTAGCATAAAGATTGTGGTAGACTCCGGCGTTGTTCGTGTGTCAAAGTTGGAGACCGGACGCTTGAACGGTTACGTTTGCACTTCCAACGCTCTTCCTACGACTTCTTCATTTTTACCGCTTACGGAGAGAGGTATAAATTTCTTACTCACTATAAGTTTTAGTACGTGATTCTGGGCAAGATAATCATGTTAGGATGTTAAAATTTTTATATTCCGCTGCCTATCCTTGCATGGTTACCTTTCATCCACAATGGTGATAATGGCCAATAATGCATCAAGTCCTAATTTTTCTGTTACTCCCAGTGTTCAGGATGTTTGTGGGATCCCTTCTACTGCTGCGGTACCTTTGTCGTAGCCTTTGGACGTTGGGCAAGGTGCAATGGTTCCTCCAAGCTCTCTTCCTTCATGCACACCAACTGCTCGACTAAATGTCTCAAAGGGACACTCAACTGCTGTGACAGATTATGTGAAGATCAAAATCCCTCTTGCTGCTTTTTCTTCCTTTAAATGGCAAGAAATTGATGGGGCTGAGCTCAAAGGTTTGGTGGATTCAGAATATGCTTTATTGCATGTACCTTTACCTTCCATGGAACAATACAAACGTCATAATGTCCATGGCGCTGTTTTTCTTGCACTTATGGGACCAGATGGGTCTGCCTATGGTGAGGGTCCAATGGAAGAGGTGCATCTACGTCCTATCACCCAACCTCATTTGTTCCAGCCTCACACTTTAGAACTTCCACATGAAAGAAAAGCTCGGTTGGCTAAAGAATCTGCCACTCCAGGTGCTTTTACGGCTGGGACTGATTTGGTACCTCTTAATGTTTCTAAGGATAAGGAAGTGGCTGCCCAGACCCCTTCAAACCAGGCCCTAGCTCATAATCCAAGTCTTTTGGGTCCTAGGCCTATTGACCATGCACACGTTGGAGGGGGGAAAGGGGTCTCTTTTGCTGGTGTTAGTGCAGCTCCTTTGCAACATAAGGGTGATTTTCCTCCTCAAAAATCCATGCCTAAAGACACTATGGTTGTGCATGCTTCACGGGCAGGAGGAGCACAAAACACGTCAAAGCCATCGTTGGCCCAAGTTGTTGCAGGTCCTTCGGCCCCCAGCGTCCCAAAATCCTTTGCACAAGCTGTGGCAGGCTCCTCCACTTCAGGTATCTCTTTACGGGCTAATGTTTCCCGCCCTTGTGCTATTTTATCCAATGTGGTTGTGGAGGAGAAAGTCCCTACTTTTCATAGAGGTACGCCTGCTGTTATTTTTAAGAAATCTGAAATGCAACAACTTTCTCAATTGGATAATTATCTCTTGATTGGTAAATTTTCTCATGGTCGTCCGGAAATCGCCACATTGAGGAAGTTGTTTGCTGCACAATTTATTCTTAGGGAGTCTGTTCAGATTAGTCATCATGACCCACGCCATGTTATGTTGTTATTCACCCAGTAATGATATTTTCATGCAAGGGCAGATTCAGTTTAACGGACAATTTCCCATGCGACTGTTTCGGTGGTCCCCGGAATTTAACGTTAAAACTGAATCTTCTGTTGCATCGGTGTGGGTGACGTTTCCTAATTTGAGGGCAGATTTATTTAATGAGAGTGCCATCCACCAACTTTGTAAACCCATTGGGAGATGCTTGAAAGTGGACGTGGCAACGTCCACTTTCTCACGTCCCAATGTGGCTAAGGCTAGGGTGGAAATTGATTTGTTGAAGCCTAGGATTGAACAGATATGGATTGGTTTTTCTGATGCACCTGGCGAGGAGGATGTGGGCATGTTCCAGCCTGTGGAATATGAACGCATCCCAAAGTACTGCACGGCCTGTTTTAAACAAGGTCACGATAATTTGTCGTGCAATACTTTGGCTCCTAATCAGGTGGATCCGAGAGCAGTTGTTGTTGTTCCCCAACCTTCCACGACTGTACCCCCGACTGCCCAACCTTCTCGACGGAGGCGAAGCAGGAGTAGGGTCAGGCGTGAAAGGGAGGGGAAAGGTATTGCCATTGTTGATGCAGGAACAAGCGTAGGCGGTTCTCAGCGGGAGGAGTCACAGTATGTTTGGAGAGAGAAGACAGCGAAAGGGTCCAGACCTATTCAGGTCGTGGACAATGATGAAGTTGGTAAGGGGGAGGGACCCTCATCTAGCTTGCAGGCCTTTGTGCCCACTTCTTCACATCCCTCCCCGAATGTTGTTATTCCTGATGCTAGTTTAGTTCCTTCTACTACTGTTAACGCCATGAGTCCCACACCTGTTGTGGTTGAGCAGTCGGTGTCCCAGATCGTTGAGCCATCTGTTCCTCCTACCGGAGTTGCGCAAGGCTCCGTTGTTGTTTCTTTGCCTCTTTCTACTTCTTCTTCTTCTCCTATTGTACATGTTCTTGATCCTCAACCCCCCGAGCTGGCCCTTGCTATGTCTAATACTTTTGATGCTTTGGGGGAGATGCCTGGGGACAGTCATGATGTCTGTGCCTTTAATACAGCTGCATCTTCCATTCCTTCCAATTCGGTGAGAAAGGAGGATGATGAGTGTAGCTAGCAGACTAGTGACGGGTCCACAGGCGATCATTTTGAGGATCCGACTGACATTGCCCGGGACCTTGCAGCGAGTGGCCTTTCCCCTGCAAGGGAGGCGCCAACTACTAGGGGCAAGTCGGCTAAGAATGCCCGTAAAGCAACTGAGCATAAGACGGGAGTGATTCTTGCTCCACGCAGAGTCACCCGTTCCACTTCTTCGCGTTCCCAATGATGTTGCGGTTCCTCGTTTGGAACGTGAGGAGCATCACCTCACAGAGTGTCCTTTCTAAGCTTCGAATTTTACTGAAATAGCACACTCCAGTGTTGTTAGGTATCTTGGAGCCTATGAAGGCACCCTCGCAGATTGACTACTTTAGGACGCTGTTGGGTTTCACGGGAGCTAGGTGTGGTGCTGATGACCAAATATGGCTCTTTTGGAACTTTGACATTGCACCGTCCATCCATTTTATTTCTCATTTTGCACAGTCATTAACCTTTTCCTTTTCTCATCCTTTTTTTCCTAACCCTCTTTGGTTGTCAGTGTTTTATGCTAAATGTAAGTACAGGGACAGGGAGCCGTTGTGGGAATACCTTAGAGAGACACACGCCGCTCTTCCGGCTGACATGGCATGGGGGGTGGTGGGTGATTTCAACTGTCTGCTCGATCCCTCAGAGAAGAAAGGCGGCCGGCCGTATGCTCCAGTTAAATATCGGCCATTTGTTGAATGCGTTGAGGATTGTGAACTGGTTGATTCTCCTTTCACTGGGGAGGATCATACCTGGTTCAACAATCGAGTGGGTGGCGTGGAGATTCGGAGCCGGATTGACCGATTGCTATTCAACCGGCCATGGATGGATATGTTTTCTTGTTTGGTGCATCACTTGGATAGAGTTGGATCTGATCATGCCCCACTGTTGGTGGAGTGTAAGTCTCATGAGCGTCCTCCTGCGCGGCCTTTCACTTTCCTTAATGTCTGGACAGAGCACAAAGATTTTCAGAGAGTGGTGGTCGATTCTTGGCGGGAGGATATGGCGGGCAGTCCCATGTTTGTTTTTGGTGCTAAGCTCAAGCGTCTGGCACATAGCTTGAAGGGATGGAACCGAGACACCTTCGGTCACATCTTTGATAGGCTTAAGGCACTTGAGCAGGATGTGCGAGATATTGAGCTGCAGCTGCAGACAGATTCCTCCGATGAGACCTATATTGAGTTTAAGCGGCGCTCTGCACTTTTGAACCGCCAGTATCGTATCGAGGATGAGTTTTGGCGTCAGAAAGCCCATGCGAAATGGGTGACGGATGGGGAGAGGAACTCGGGATATTTTCACTCTGTTGTGAAGGATCGCCGGCGGAAGCTTTACATTCACCGCATACAGGATGATCGTGGGCAGTGGGTCACGCAGAGAGCTGCGATTGCGTCGCAGGCGATTGCCTTTTTTCAGGCCATGTTCACTGCAGATCCTAGTGTCACATCTTCGGCCTTAGACATGATTCCACGGCTGGTCACTGCTGATGATAATGAGCGGCTATGTGCTGTTCCGGAGATGGAGGAGGTCAAGTCTGCGGTCTTTGCTATGGATTCTCTGAGTTCCGCAGGACCCGATGGCTTTACTGGGGCTTTTTATAAGGCCGCTTGGACGATCATTTGCACGGACTTATTGGCGATGGTGCAGGCTTTTTTCTTGGGCCACGATCTGACTCGTTCCCTCACGCACACTTCTATTGTTTTGTTGCCCAAGAAGCCCAATCCTGTGACCTTTGCGGACTTTAGACCCATTAGTTTGTGTAATTACTGCAAGAAGATCATCACGAAGATTATGGTGGTTCGCTTGGCTTCTGTGCTTCCCCGACTGCTTTCCCCGCATCAGAGCGGGTTTGTGGCGGGGCGTTCTATCACTGATAATATTCTTTTAGCCCAGGAGATGTGTCACGGGATGCGGTGGATAATGAAGATGTCATTCTGAAGCTGGACATGATGAAGGCCTATGATCGGGTCTCTTGGTTTTTCTTGATGTCAGTATTGCGCCGATTTGGATTTTCAGAGGCTTGGATCGATTTGGTCTATCGGGCCATCTCGAATATATGGTACTCAGTCATTATTAATGGGATCCGAGAGGGCTTTTTTCATTCGACGAGGGGCTTGCAGCAGGGCGACCCACTCTCTCCGTCTTTGTTCATTTTATCAGCAGAGGTTCTTTCTCGCTCTTTGGCCCAACTGTATACAGATCCTGCAGTTGCTCGGTTTACACAGCCCCGTGATGCACCACATATCCATCATCTTGCCTACGCCGATGATATTGTCATCTTCACTTCGGCAAGGGGGAACACCTTGGAGAGGGTTCGAGCAGTTTTACAGTCATATGAGCAGATTTCAGGCCAGGCTGTCAGTTTCGCTAAGAGTGCCTTCTATATGCACCCTAAGGCATTGGCACCCGCGCTGGAGCGTGTTCGAGATACTCTCGGGTGTTCATTGGATGTCCTTCCATTAACTTATCTTGGTTGTCCTATTTATCATGGTCGGAAGCGTATTCATTACTTTGAGCCTGTTCTGAAGAAGATGCGGGATAAGTGTTGTGCGTGGATGGGGCGCTACCTTTCTCCGGGGGGGAAGGCTATTATGATTAAGAGTGTTCTACAGGCGATCCCGACACACTTGCTTGCTGCACATTTCCCTCCCAAAGCGGTGATACGTGAGATGGAGTCTATCATGGCCCGATTCTTTTGGTCTGGCTTGGGAGGGACGCGACGCTATCATTGGGGATCTTGGAAGACTTTGGCTCGTCCGATGAGAGAGGGTGGGGTCGGCTTCCTTGATTTTATGACTTTAGGACGCAGGATTCTATCTGGACGGCTTTCATGAGGGCTAAGTATTGCAACCGCGTCCACCCTGTGTCCAAACAGAGCCTTGATGATGATTCACACACTTGGAAGCGTATGCTGGATGTTCGGGCTGTGGTCGAACCTATGATTCGATGGCGTGTCCTTTCTGGCACGTCTAATTTCTGGTGGGATACATGGTCTGGATTAGGTGCCTTACATTGCCAGGTCAACGGCTGTAGTGGATATTGGACGGATGGAGTGGGCGATATGTATCGCTCTGATTTTATGATTGACCATGATGCGTTGCCACCTGACCTGCTACGGCAGTTGCGCCTTGAGCCTCCATCACTTGTCTCTGATCATGCCGATATTCCGATTTGGACCCCCTCTACGGATGGGAAGTTTACTCTTGCTTCTGCTAAGGAGCTGCTGAGACCGAGGAGGGTTGATGATGTTGAGGATACTGTGTTTAAGAGGTGCTGGCAGCGGCACCTACCTTGGAAGATGTCCTTCTTGGTATGGCGCGTGTTGGAGAGACGCATTCCCACTGATGATGTCCTGGCGAGATTTGGGATTGTTTTGCCCTCTCGTTGTTTCTGCTGTTCGTCGCCAGGTAGGGAGACCATTACGCAAATATTCTATCAGGGGAGCATGGCGTGACGTGTTTGGACTTATTTCACAGAGTCAGCCCATATCAGGGGTGCACATCATAGTTTGAGGTCTGTCATGAGTATATGGTGGGCGCAGAGGCCGAAGAGCAGGATGCTCTCGTTCCTATTCCACCGCCTGCCGATGATCATTCTTTGGGAGCTTTGGACGCACTATGCTGCGTGCAAGTATGGGGATGCTCGACCCAACTTCGCACGCATTATCTTTCGGGTGACTACGGCGATGTCAGAGTGTATCTATCGTCGCTGGCCTAGCGGAGGTCTTTTGCCTCCCCGATGGTCGGTGATAATGGAGCATGTTCGACGAGGATCTGGACGCAGGAGGGTGGTGCCGATTCGGTGGGTCCCACCGCCGGATGGTTCCATCAAGGTAAATGTGGTGAGGGCTCCGCTCCGTTGGGCATATGCAGCGATCGTACGTGACTCGACAGGTAAGTTTCTCTATGCTCTCTCTTCTATTGCATTCAGGTGGGACCCAGTGGAGCGTGGAGGGATGGACGTGCTTCTTCGGTGTATTCAGTGGTGTATATCCCAGTCCTTCTTGCGTATCCACGTGGAGTCCCACCATTCAGAGTTAGCTTGCTTCTTTAGAGAGGGTACCCCGTGGTACCTTCATGATGTTTATGCTAGACTGCGTTTCTTCTGTTCTATCGCGACGGTCCAGTGGTTTCATTGTGACGTTCGGGCGAATGGCCCGACGACTGAGTTGGCATTGTGGGCCGTGGATAGTACAGAGGGGACGCGGGAGTTTACTAATCTGCAGGATCTTGATATTCGGGTACGATCTCTCCTTCCTATGGACGATCTGCCTTTCTTTCGCATTGATGAGGATGGGGGTAACCCCTAGTTGCACTTATTTGCGTGCCTTAACGACCGCGTCTGCGGTTAAGAGGCGCACGTATGTACCTGCGGTTAAGGGGTGCCCGTTGGTTCCCGCGGTTTGGGACCACGTGTTGTATCGACGGTGAACGGTGCCTTTGTGAGATGATGGGCGTAGTCTTGCAGAGTTTCTTTCGTTCCCGTCGGCTCCTGGGGTACGTTGGCGCTAGCGTCTGTGGTTTTAGCGCCCGTAGTTGCCAGCGGTATTTGGCATCCTAGCCCGGGCAGAGGTGGCTGTCCGGTAAAGGCTTTATCCATCTCGCACTTCACCTGAGTGCCTTAACGACCGCGCCTGCGGTCAAAAGGCGCACGTACGCGTCCGCGGTAAAGGATGCCCGTCAGTGCTTGCGGATTGAGGATTTGAGCACCCGTGGCGCACACGGAAAGTGTGTATGCGTGGTACCGTCATCAAATCGGTGCCCTCATTGGGAGGCTCGGTGGCGCCCGGCGAGGTTTCTTCCGCCTGCGTCAGTGCTTGCGCGTGAGGTTAGAGCACCCGCTATCTGCCGGCGGTAATGGGCTAAGGGTTGGCCACTGACACATAGTGGTACCTCTTTTCTTTCTTTCTTCTATCCTCTTGGACTTCATTTCTTGGATCACTCTTCTTCTGGACATCCTCATCATGCTGGATCTTTGGATTACATTGGATTTCACACACTTTGGACTTGGATATTTTATATGGCTGGACTTCTTCTGGGTTTGGGCCACTTCGGCTGATCTGGTTACTTGGGTTTCGACTGGGCTTGGGCTACTATGGGCTAGAGACTGGACTTGGATTATATTGGGCCGTGGCTGCTGGGCTTCGGTTTCATGGATGGGCTGCTCGGTGGTCTGGCGTGGTTGTTTCTTGGCGGACTGGCTGCATTGGGCTGCGGTGGGCTTCTTTGTTTGGGCTAACTTGTGCTGGCCTTGATTAGTTGGGTCCGTGGTTTGGGCCGTCTTTGATATGGGCTTCATCTGTTGGGCCTTCTACTTCTTGGATTTGGACTTTGATATTTTGGGTTCCTCTTCACATGATACCTTGGGCTTTTGTTGGGCCTTGGACTTCTTGCATAACTTACATGGACTTGGGCTTCTTCATAGGATTGGGCCGAGTTGGATTGGGCTGCTTTTGGACTCTCATGGTTCGGGCCTAGCATTTTTTAGGCTCATTCTTGGCTCACTTGGATTATTTTTGCACTTATTATTTTACTTCTCCATTTTAGTTGGGCTTTTCTGGATATTAGACTGGACTTATGTCGATTGCATTTCTTGGCTTAGAACATTTCTCTTGATCGGATTATCTGACCTTAGGCCTTACCCTTGCGGGGGTTGGGGCTCCGGGAATAATTTTATTCCTAGATCTAAGTGGAATGTTCTGAGCCGGCTTTGTAATTGCGCTTAAGTCTATGTTCCCATATCTGATAAGCGCTTCACATTATAGGTCTTTGGTTGTTGCTTACTTATTATACAAGTGAGGAGCATGTTCCCGCTTGTTCAGACGTTTGTATTCTTTGATTCTTTAATAAATTGCTTTTTTCTATAAAAAAAAAAACCTGTGAGTCAACACTTAACAACACAGAAAGGGTTGAACTCATGCATTCCAACAGATTCTTCATTTTTATAAAAATGTTTTTCTGTTGAAACAAAATTCTTAGATGGTTGGTAAGTTATTGTGGTTGAATGGTCTAAAGAATTGGTTCTTTTGAACTTTAGTTCTACTGATCCATCTTCATATTGAATGATGTGATCAATTTCTTTGTTTTCTTTTGGTTGTATCCTAGGGACAGTTCTAGATGGGTATATCCATTTATCTGGTAAAATAACATCTTTCCAGTTTATGGTCTTTGGTACCGAAAGATTAGCTTTATTTTGATCTATTTCCCAAAATATCGTTTGTCCTGTTTAGTTATTATTATGATTTATTGCATTGGGACAGAGGCCAGTGTTCATAACCCTATAGTGTAATCTATAAAATACTTCATATATGTGTGATCCTGGTAACATGTGGTAGTTGTGTGATAAAATATCTAACATTAAAATCTTCATAATATGCGGGTCTCTAAGTGATATTGTAAAATTTGGAAAACAATTAAAATAAATTGGTCCATTAGTTAAACTTGTTTATACTAATCCTAGAATAGAATCTTGGTAATTTACATGTCTACAATCTCTTAATGCTACGTGAATACTAGTTTTTAAGCCTTCAACTGTTAATGGTTTGATTGCTACTTGAACTAATCTTATATGTAAAAATTTATATCCTTGTTTTAAATATTTTATTATAGATTTTTTAGAAAATAGGCTCATGTTTTGATTGCCAGAATATAATGGTACTACTTGTTCTTTTGTTTTAATAGCTCTAATTGATTTAAAATCTAAAATTCCTTTTTTATAAACTTCTGTTATTGGCAAAGATGGTGGTTTCCAATTTGTTAATTTTTGATCATCCCAAGTAATTTCTTTAGATAAAATTGTGCTCTTTGTATTTTCATTATTCTCACCTACTCTTATGTTTAAATCTTCCATAAGTTCTTCCTGGTGATTAGAACCTTTAGTTTTACTACTTCCAAATAAATTCATCTTAATTGTTTGAGGACTTCGGATACACTTCCTTCTCTACTCGTATGCTCGTCTTACAACCTCACTGCTAGTCTTACAACTTCCGTGACACACTTCCGATTTCAAACAATTAATATGTATTTACTTGGTTGTGTAAGCCTAATGGCTCTGATACCAAAACGAACCCAGGGAACATCGAAACAAAGGAGGACATGGTTATAATAATGGAAAATACTACAAAACGAACCAAGGGAACATCGAAACAAAGGAGGACATGGTGATAATAATGGAAAATACTGAACACAATAATAAAAGAGTAATAAGAATTAACTTACAAATTAAAATAATAAAAGAGTAATAAGAATTAACTAACAAATTATTTGCAGAGAATGATTTGATTTTATTGATCAGAAATGGTTACAAGCTTGATTCTTGATTTTGTACTGGTTACAGACTTTGATAAATTTGCAGAAATATAAATATAATACAATGGATATTTTTGGATGGAAATATATAGAAACTAAAATCGGAGATTTTCTTCTGATGATCCTTTGTATGGTGTGGTTGGTCTCCTTTTATAGGCAGCTCCGGACTTCAAATGCAGACTTGATTTCCTCCGGACTTGATTTTCGGATTTCAAATTATAGCTTTGTCTTGAAGTAATAGTGGAGGGAAAAGAGATTCCCTGCTTTTATCATGTCACCTTGTTAATGGAGCATAGTGGAGCACTTGTCCTTTGGTGGAGCACTACGACTTGTCACATCATTCTTTTGGTGGAGCACTACGACTTGTCACAATATTGTGCGGCTACAATTCTGGTTGAGAGAAAAAATCGTCTTCTTCTGCAGGATTGTCAATATGGATGGAACTCCCAGCACTACTGGTTTCCTTGAGTTCTGCAAGAATTTTGTCACATTCATTGTCTGATTTGCACGATGCTAATTTTGCCATGATTTGTCTCTTTTTAGCTTGGAAAATTTCACTCTTGGTCACAATCTCATAACTTGGTTTTTTGCAAAATTGTGGCGAGTCCTTGAAGAATTTGTCAACTGCTTTTTTGTTGCAGCCTTCTAAATCTATCTTGGGCCACCACTTAATTTTAAATTTTCTTACAAGAACTGGCAAAATAAATTCTGCCACAGATTGGTCCTTGATTTGGTACTCTATCATCATGATCCATGGAACTTTGAAAATTTGACTGAATACCATCCAAGATGGAGATAGCTCAATCTCTTCTGGTAATTCATTCTAGTCGTAAAACTGGTCCTTTGCAACTTGAACTTCATTTAGAGCAATGCTTTGATCTATACCAAACTTGGCCCACCAATGGTGGAGCACTACGACTTGTCACAATATTGTGCGGCTACAATTCTGTTTGAGAGAAAAAATCGTCTTCTCCCGCATGATTGTCAATATGGATGGAACTCTCAAACATTACTGGTTTCCTTGAGTTCATGGTGTTAATAATGGAAAATACAAAACAAAATAATAAAAGAGTAATTAGAATTAACTTACAAATCAAAATAATAAAAGAGTAATAAGAATTAACTTACAAATTATTTGCAGAGAATGATTTGATTTTATTGAGCAGAACTGGTTACAAGCTTGATTCTTGATTTTGTACTGGTTACAGACTTTGATAAATTTGCAGAAATATAAATATAATACAATGGATATTTTTGGATGGAAATATAGAGAAACTAAAATCGGAGATTTTCTTCTATTCTATCCATTTGTTGTCTTAATGTATATAATGTTATATTTGTCCAATTTGATTGTAAATGTTATATTTGTCAAATTATTGAGTAGGGATATGCAACAAAACATTATAAAATTCAATAAAATCCGATGGCCAAAGACAAAAATGGAGGTCAACCAGAGTCAGCAGCTTTAGCCTTCTTAGTATATAATATTATTACTCATTATATTGGAGATTTAGATTTATATAAAGAACGAAATAGTGAGATTTTACAAAATTTCAAATGCAGAAAATTAGAAAATTTTAAATGGTATAAAGAAAATTTTCTTAAAAGAGTACTTTCCTTATCAGACCCAAATGCCTATCATTGGAAAGAAAAATTTATAACTGGATTACCAAGTTTATTTGCAGCAAAAGTTAGAGAAATCATAGAACAAAGATTTGGCCATATATCATATGATGACCTAACATATGGAGATTTAATCACATGTGTTAATCTTACTGGATTAAGATTATGTAGAGACATTAGACTTCAAAATAAAATGAGACAAGAGAGTAAACAAACAAAGAAAGAATTAGGACATTGGTGTGAACAATTTGGATTTGGTAGAATACAAGGACCAAATAAAAGAAGGTTTAAACCTTATAAACCACCTTACAAATCATACAAAAATACATATGAAAAGCATAGAAAACAAAAATATAACCAGCAACAAAACCTCCCACAACCAAAATTTTACAAAAAGAAAAGACCATTTAAAACAAAGAAAAAAAGGAATGTTCAAGAAGTAACTTGTTATTTATGCAAACAAAAAGGACATTATGCGAAGAATTGCCCATCGAAGAAAAGAATTCAGGAAATATTCTTAGAATTAGGAATAAAAGAAACTAATCAATTAATTCAAAAGATAGACCAAATAAAAATTTCGTCCTCGGAATTAGAAGATGATTATTCTAGCTCTTCTGAAACAGGTTCCAGTGAGAGTAGTAAATGTGAATGTCGTGATGAAGTTTGTTTTTGCAATAACAAATTAAATGTTCTAACAGACTATAATACGATTTTTGAAAAAATTGAACCAGTTGAAAACCCTGAACTAAAAACAAAATTTTTGAAACAATTAGCAAACATTATTAATAAAGAAACACAGGAAGACCTGGCTAAACCAACAAATTTTGAAGACATTGAAAATATGTTTCGTAACAAAAAGACAAATAAAAATATTTCATCTTTAGACTTACAAAATGAAGTAAGAGAATTAAAACTAGAAATTAGACAAATAAAACAAAAGTTTAAAGAAATAGAAAATAACCACGAAAAATTAAAAAGAGAAATAGCATTAGAAAAAATAAAAGATACATTATCCAACTCTAGCAAAAATAGTTCTGACCATGAAAAGGAGCAAGAAGTAAATGAAGAATTCAAATTAGATGAAATAACAAGAATTAGATTTCAGAAGTGGTATGTTGAAATAAATTTAAAAATAAAATATTTTGAATTCAAGGGAATAGCTATGTTAGACTCAGGAGCAGATATGAATTGTATTGAAGAGGGACTAATTCCGACAAAATATTTTCATAAAACTAAACAATACCTTTCAGTTGCCAATTCGAAAAAAGTAAAAATAGAATATAAGGTCCCAAATGCACATATATGCAATAACAATATTTGTTTTAAAACAAGTTTGATGTTCGTAAAAGGATTAAATACAAAAATTATATTAGGCATCCATTTTTACAAATGCTTTATCCTTTTAAAGTAACAGAAAGGGGAGTAGAAACCAATATTTTAGAACAAAATATTATATTTAAATTTATTTATCCAGTCTCTAACCATGAAGCTAATGTTTTCCAAAAACAAAATATTTCAAAGCTAACTGAACAAATAAACTTTTTAAAAGAAGAAATCAAAACCATAAAAATTGAAGAAAAATTAGAAAGTAAAGAAATACTCCCTCCGTCCACCTAATAAAGTAGATACAAGATGAATTTGAGAAAAATTTATGTTCTGATTTACCAACTGCATTTTGGGAAAGAAAGAAGCATGTTGTTACTCTTCCCTATGAAAAAGATTTTAATGAAAAGAATATACCAACAAAAGCTAGACCAATTCAAATGAATCAAGAATTCTTAGAATACTGTAAACAAGAAATACAGGATTTATTAAACAAAGGACTAATTAGAAAAAGTAAGTCACCATGGTCATGTGCTGCATTTTATGTCAATAAAAATTCAGAAATTGAAAGAGGAGCACCTAGGCTAGTCATAAACTACAAACCACTAAATAAAGCATTAAAATGGATTAGGTATCCAATTCCCGATAAACAAGATTTATTAAAAAGGTTATACCACGCACACATATTTTCAAAATTTGATATGAAATCAGGATTTTGGCAAATTCAAATACCGGAAGAAGACAAAAATAAAACAGCATTTACTGTACCATTTGGACAATATGAATGGAATATAATGCGATTTGGTTTAAAAAATGCACCAAGTGAATTTCAAAATATTATGAATGAAATATTCAATCCTTACAACTTTATTATAGTTTATATTGATGATTTTTTAGTTTTCAGCAATGACATTGACCAACATTTTAAACATTTGAACATATTTTACATAGTAATTAAAAGAAATGGATTAGTTTTGTCAAAACCAAAAATGAAATTATTTCAAACAAAGGTAAGATTTTTAGGACATGAAATAAATAAAGGAACAATAACTCCTATACAAAGAGCAATTGATTTTGCAGAAAAATTTCCAGACGAAATAAAAGACAAAAATCAGTTACAGAGATTTTAAGGATCTTTAAATTATGTTGCAGACTTTTTCCCAAATCTTAGGCAAATGTGTAGACCATTATTTGACAGATTAAAAAAGAATCCTAAACCATGGAGTGAAGAACATACAAAAATTATCCAAAAAATAAAGAAACATGTCAAGACACTACCATGCTTAAATATATGTGACCCTAAAGCCCTAAAAATTGTTGAAACAGATGCATCAGACAAAGGTTATGGAGGAATACTAAAACAAAAAATCGATAATAAGGAACATATTATTAGATACCATTCAGGAATTTGGAACTCTACGCAAGAAAAATATTCGACAATTAAAAAAGAAATTTTAGCAATAGTTCTTTGTGTCACAAAATTTTAGAGTGCTTTGTTAAAGCAAAAATTTACAATTAAAGTTGACTGTAGAGCCGCAAAAGATGTATTAACTAAGGATGTTAAAAATCTAGCAGCAAAACAAATTTTTGCAAGATGGCAAGCTTTATTATCTATTTTTGATTTTGAAATTGTTTATATAAAGGGGAATGAGAATTCTATTCCCGACTTTCTTACAAGAGAATTTTTGCAGAGAAAGGATGAGCGCAAAGACAAACAATACAAACAATCCAAGGACCAATCTTAGCGAATCATCATCAAATCAAAATATTGACCAATCTTTGACCAAGAAGGAAATAGTGTATAACACAAAAATTCCTTTAAGACAAATTACATTACGACCAATGACAAAAATTGCAGAATCATTAGAGCAAAAACTTCCGACCAATGAGAAAATGACAAATTATTCTTTACAGACCAATTGCACTACAAATACATTTTCTTTAAAACCATTCTCTCGACCAAGTGCACCAATCAATCAAACAAAAATTGAAAACAGATTCTCTCCTCTACAATTTCCGCAATTACCATCACCTCCCAAAACTCAACCACAAACTTTCAAGAAAGCCTTAAAAACCAACAGTCCAACACCCTCACAAACAAATCTTGCCTCCACAAAATTAGCCACACAAAGTCCACATAAAGTCCAAACTCTTCCTACAGAATATGCCTATAAACCAATAGAAGAAACTATTTGCACCATTGAAGGAGAATACCTTCAGTCAAATCCAAATATTACTTCTTACCAAGCCTGTGAAACCTTTTTACCAAAAACCCATTTCTATATTCCAGATAATTTCAACAAAAACCAACAATTTTATGAAGCCATTTTAACAACAACAAATTCTGCCTGATTCCAATATATTCTTGACCATGCAAACCCTACAAAAGCAAGATACTGCAAAGTCCGAATTTTCAAAATTCTAACCATTTCAGACTGGGGTCAAGAACCTCATAAAGCCAGAGATTTTTATGTAACCAACAGACAAGTTCAAAAATTTAATTATTATGATTATCAAAATGCATGGGAGAGAGCTTTTTACAAAACCAATGATAATTTTTCTCTCATATTTTTTATTTTTTAATGATGATTTCCATTATCCTGTTCCGCATTGGTTCCATCATTGGTGGGCCAAGTTTGGTATAGATCAAAGCATTGCTCCAAATGAAGTTCAAGTTGCAAAGGACCAGTTTTACGACCAGAATGAATTACCAGAAGAGATTGAGCTATCTCCATCTTGGATGGTATTCAGTCACATTTTCAAAGTTCCATGGATCATGATTGTAGAAATTATTGGACGTGAAACTTGCGTTTTCCATTAGTCACAGGAAGTATATATACATGACGGAGTATACTAGCTACGGGCCCAGAATGTACATAGCCCAATACATGATAAACGAATATTTACAAAATATACTACGCTAACACTCCCCCTCAAGTTGGAGCATGAATATCATAAATGCCCAACTTGGACAACAAGCTGTGAAAAAGAGGACCGGAGAGAGCCTTTGTGAAGATGTCCACTGTCTGAAAACGCGTAGGAACATAAGCGGTGACAATATGATTGCGCTGAAGGCATTCCCGGACTATATGACAATCGATATCAATATGCTTCGAACGCTCATGAAATACTGGATTAGCGGCAATGAACAAGGCAGACTTGTTGTCACAATATAAACGAGGAGTCGCTACACAAGGAACGTCTAAGGCGGCCAAGATCCCACGCAACCAACGGATTTCGACACAAGCATTTGCCATAGCTCGATACTCAGCCTCTGCAGAAGATCGAGAAACTGTAGTCTGCTTCTTTGTGCGCCATGAGACTGGAGAGCCACCCAATAGAATGAAATAACCAGTGACAGATCTGCGTGTGAGGGGGCAACTAGCCCAATCAGAATCAGAAAAGGCAGTGAGGGCGAGATTGCTATCACTGCGCAACAAGATACCCTGACCAGGGTGGCCCTTGAGATAACGGAGGACACGAAGAGCCGCATTCCAATGATCGAGACGGGGCGCCTGCATAAACTGAGAAAGAGTGTGAACGGCATAACAAATATCCGGACGAGTAATGGTCAGGTACAACAAGCGACCCACAAGACGACGATACTTCAGAGGATCACGAATCTCAGCACTGGTAGCTCGAGCCAAATTATGATTAACCGGTAATGGAGTGTCCACAGGCTTGCAACCAAGCAGGTTGGCCTCATCAATAATGTCAAGAGCATACTTACGCTGAGTAAGGACCATACCATCTAGAGAGCGAGCACACACAATCCCCAGAAAATAGGAAACTGGACCAAGATCCTTGAGATGAAAACATTCATCTAAATACTTCTTGAATGACGTACATAAAGACCTGTTGTTACCTGCCACCAGAATATCATCAACATAAACAAGCACAACCAACATATCAGGGCCACGCTGGAGAACAAAAAGAGTGTGATCAGCGTGGGCTTGACGAAAACCATATCGTCGTAGAGCAATGCGAAGCTTAGTGAACCAATTACGAGGGGACTGACGAAGCCCGTATAAGGACTTTCGAAGACGACAAACTTTCCCTGGAAAAAGATGAGCATAGCCAGGGGGTAGTTTCATATAAATCTCATCCTGTAAATCACCATGCAGGAAGGCATTATTAACATCCAACTGATCAACCTGCCAACCACGAGCCACTGACACAGACAACAAAACACGTACAGTGGCAAGTTTGGCAACAGGAGCAAAAGTGTCAGTATAATCAACACCAAGTTCTTGATGATTGCCTAAAACAACAAGGCAAGCCTTATCACGCTCCTTAGTACCATCAGACCGAAATTTGGTCTTGTATACCCACTGACAACCAAGGGCTCGACGATTAGGAGGAAGATCTACAACATCCCAAGTATGATTACGCTCCAGAGCCAAGTACTCAGTAGCCATAGCCTCACGCCAAGAAGCAAACTGAACAGCCTCACGGAAATTATGGGGAACTGAGGTGGCATCAATAGCTCCAAGAAAACCCTTATACCTGTCTTGCAACTTAGAATAATGAACAAAGTTAGTAATAGGGAACCGAGTACCAGATTGTGAGGAACAGGAGGAGACCGGAGCCGAAGTGACAGTCTTTGCAGAATTGAGAACATAGTCGTTTAGGTGGGACGGACGACGACGTGTGCGAGGCGGAAGGGATGGAAGTATCGGCGATGGAGAAGTGGTCTCCACCGAGGAGGACTCGGGGTTGTCGTCGTCATCAGAAGAGGCGGAGGGGGTGGAAGATTCCGACGGGGACTGAGACGGTGACGGGGATTGCTGGGTGGGCTGCTGGGTTGCCGGAACGGCAGGGATGACGGGAGACGGGGAAGGCTGCTGGGTCGATGGTACGGCAGGGGTGATGGGGACGGGAGCAACGGTGAAATCAACCGGGGAGGGTGTGAGAATAGGTGGAGGGCCGGACGAGGGAGTGGGGACGGCGAACGGAAAGACGGTTTCATCAAACGAATTATCCCTCGTGTGAAAAAACTTATGTGTGTCAAGATTATAAACTCTCCACCCTTTGGTACCATATGGGTAACCCACAAACACACATTTTACACTTCGTGGGTGGAATTTATTGTTGGGTTTGGGAACAGGATGGACAAAACAAAGGCACCCAAAAACCCGGAGATGACTTAAATCTTGAGGTTTGGAGGATAGGATTTCAAGTGGTGATTTTCCCTCGAGAATTTTGGTGGGTGTACGATTGATTAAATAAACAGCCGTTTTGACACATTCCCCCCAAAATTCGAGTGGAAGAGACGCTTGGAACATAAGGGATCGGGCCACATTCAGTATATGGCGATGTTTACGTTCTACCCGCCCATTTTGTTGTGGGGTACCAACACAAGATGTTTGAATACATACACCCAAGCTCTCATAATATTGACGCAAAGAAGAATTCAGAAACTCAGTACCATTATCAGAACGAACAATTTTAATTATTTTGGAGTATTGGGTGTAGATCATTGTGAAGAAACGTCGTAGACAAGAAGTGACCTCACTTTTTGATTTAATCAGATAAACCCAGACAGCTCGAGAAAAATCATCAACAATTGTCAGAAAGTAATGTGCCCCAGATGAAATACAAGGTGAATAAGGTCCCCACAGATCACAATGGATTAAATCAAAAACAGCATCAGCTTTATTATCACTAATACGAAATGGAGAACGAGTTTGTTTGGACAAAAAACAAATTTCACAAGTCTGTAATTTTTGGACAACAGACTGCGTTTTATTAGTACCAAGAAAAGGGAGAACATCCACGGAGGGGTGGCCTAACCGTTGATGAAGAACCAAGGGATCGATGTTGGCTACGAGGGCTGACGCGGGAACTGAAGCAAAGACATACACGCCGTTTCGCAAATCACACTGTCCAATCACCATCTTCGATGAACGATCCTGTATTACACAACGATGATCATTAAAAGTTACATAACAAGTATTATCACGAATTAAACATCCAACAGAAATCAAGTGACAATGTAAGTTTGGTACGTATAACACGTTACGTAGTACCAAACGAGAAGACAGATGCACACTTCCCTGTTTGACAGCCTGAACACGGGACCCATCAGGGAGACATATGGAATGAGGAGAGACATCCTCAACATTAAAAAAGTGTGAAAGAGATCCTGTCATGTGATGTGAAGCTCCACTATCAATTAACCACTCACAAAATGTAGAAGTCATACCATTCATTTGATTGGACGAAAAAGAATCAATCACAGACATTAACCAAACCATTTTATCTCCACACAATTCGGCAGCCATGGTATGAGATTTTTTTTTTTTGAGAGTTCTGCTGCAATTGACTGCTGAAGGGTGAAAGAGCCGGCTGAAATTGACAGCTGAAGGACGGAGGTCGATGAAGACAGCACGAACGAATCTACTGGGACAGACCTGCTGGGCGGATCGCTGGACGGGCGGATCTGCTGGGATGGATCGCTGGAACAGACGGACGGGTGGATCTGGATGGGCGAATCTGCTGGAATTGAATTCGATGTCGGCGAATCTAGACAAGGACGGACAGAAATCTGGCCGAATTGTGGATTACGAGCGGCGGACAGACGGCTGACTTGTCGGCGGACGAACAGACCTGACGATGCTGGACGGACGAAGCTGGACTGGAACAAACCTTCTGGATCTGTTCAGCGAAGGAGGAGGGCCGACGAGCTCTGAATCCGACGCACCTACAACGAACAGCACCGCCGAGAGAGACAGACGGGCGGCGCACCAATCGACACGAGAGTAGGGGTTTGGAAACTAACCCTGGGATCGCTCTGATACCATGTAGAAATTATTGGACGTGAAACTTGCGTTTTCCATTAGTCACAGGAAGTATATATACATGACGGAGTATACTAGCTACGGGCCCATAATGTACATAGCCCAATACATGATAAACGAATATTTACAAAATATACTACGCTAACAATGATGATAGAGTACCAAATCAAGGACCAATCTGTGGCAGAATTTATTTTGCCAGTTCTTGTAAGAATATTTAAAATTAAGTGGTGGCCCAAGACAGATTTAGATGGCTGCAACGAAAAAGCAGTTGACAAATTCTTCAAGAACTCGCCACAATTTTGCAAAAAACCAAGTTATGAGATTGTGACCAAGAGTGAAATTTTCCAAGCTAAAAAGAGACAAATCATGGAAAAATTAGCATCGTGCAAATCAGACGATGAATGTGACAAAATTCTTGCAGAACTCAAGGAAACCAGTAGTGCTGGGAGTTCCATCCATAGTGACAATCCTGCAGGAGAAGACGATTTTTTCTCTCAAGCAGAATTGTAGCCGCACAATATTGTGACAAGTCGCAGCGCTCCACCAAAAGAATGATGTGACAAGTCGTAGTGCTCCACCAAAGGACAAGTGCTCCACTATGCGCCATTAACAAGGTGACATGACAAAAGCAGGGAATCTCTTTTCCCTCCACTATTACTTCAAGACAAAGCTATAGTTCTACACCAATTTGAAATCCGAAAATCAACTCCGGAGGAAATCAAGTCCGCATTTGAAGTTCGGAGTTGCCTATAAAAGGAGACCAACCACACCATACAAGAGGCATCAGAAAAAAATCTCTGATTTTAGTTTCTCTATATTTCCATCCAAAAATATCCATTGTATTATATTTATATTTCTGCAAATTTATCAAAGTCTGTAACCAGTACAAAATCAAGAATCAAGCTTGTAACCAGTTCTGATCAATAAAATCAAATCATTCTCTGCAAATAATTTGTAAGTTAATTCTTATTACTCTTTTATTATTTTAATTTGTAAGTTAATTCTTATTACTCTTTTATTATTTTGTTCTGTATTTTCCATTATTATCACCATGTCCTCCTTTGTTTCGATGTTCCCTGGGTTCGTATTGGTATCAGAGCCAAAACGAACCCAGGGAACATCGAAACAAAGGAGGACATTGTTAGTTCCACATTGTGTTGACATTATTTTTTGACAAACGAATGGATTTATCTAGAACTATTTTAGATGTTTTATTTAGAATTAGAGTCCTAGCATGTGAAGGAAGAGGAAGATGAAAGAGCTTGAAGAGAGAATTCTAGTCCTACTTGGATTCTAATCCTACTTGGTTTACAATTCATAAGGAGGAGGCCATGGTTGAGAATCCTAAGCACACTCCAACATGGCTATTCTATTCTATTAATATCTTCACCCTCCATTAGGGTTGTGTGCGTGAAAACCTACTAAAAACCAGAAGCAAATTCGATCAAAAGAAAAAACAAGGTGCAGATTTTGAGACTGTAAATTCTCTGGACAGCCCGCACGGAATTGATCATTGCCGGAGATCCGACCGTTGGATTTTGCTGAAATTTTAAGAGAGTGTTCCCCACACATAGGGCTTCAACTTGTTCAAATTGCACGTCAATCGAAGTTACGCATCTTCTGTTATCGAAGTTACAATCTTTGCTGATTTTTTGCAGAAAACACTGCCCTGGTTTTCTCGATGGTTGGAGTACCAAATCTTGTCTGATCGTGCTGAACTTTTAGGAGGAGTCTAAGGACTCGTGGAGCTTCAATATGAACGGTGGAGATCGAATTTCAACGGTTCAATCTCGAGTTATGAGCTTCTGAACAGCCTGCATATTTTTGTAGAGCAAGAAGAATCTTTATTTGAAGGTGTATTGGAATCTACGTCCTTGAAGAAGATCTTTGAGAAGGTGTAACAAGCCGTGAAGATAGACGCAAACCGAGTTTGTCGTCAAGTCATTCGTAAGTAGACAAATCAATACATTAGAAGGTTCTATTGTGATTGATTGTGTAATTCTTACGGTGATTTAGTGGAAGGGCTACTACACGGACGTGGGTCTTGCAGACATAGGAGAATTTGCTCCGAACTGCGTGAATAATTCTGGTGTCTTGCTTGCTGTTTTTACTTCATATTTTACGTGTGTGCTTGTGACAGAGAAGTGTTATAGCACACTGTCCGTCATCTGTTACTGGACAGTGCTGCAGCGTCTTCTCTACAACATAGTTGATTGTTTTGTTTGCATAGCTTGTGTTTGCTGTTATCCGCTACACCCCCCACGAACTTACAGACATGGTGATAATAATGGAAAATACAGAAGAAAATAATAAAAGAGTAATAATATTATATACTAAGAAGGCTAAAGCTGCTGACTCTGGTTGACCTCCATCGTCTAAAATTATTTGTCCTTGGCCATCGGATTTTATTGAATTTATAATGTTTTGTTGCATATCCCTACTCAAAAATTTGTCCCACCATGTTCTTAATTCTCCAGTGAATCCTAAAACTATATTTTTCGCTGCATCTTTTTCTGTAATTTCTACTTTTTGTTTGTATATGTTTCCTACAATTACCATTTCTTTTGTCATTTGTATTATTTCAATTTCAGATAAATCATCTAAATTCCATTCATAAATATTTTTTGCATTATATTGTTTTGTCTTTTGTTTAATATTTTAAGATCATCTGGTTGCTTTCTAAAAACTACTTGTCTTTCTAAGGTGTTTAAAGGTATTTCTAAATTATCATATGATCCTGAAGATTGGTCAAATGGATCAAAGGGGTTAATTTCCGTTTCTGAGTTTGAGGAGGATGGACTATTATACTCAGATAAAATTGTCACTTTATTTTTACCTGTGTCTCTTGAGTTAGTAGATTCTGCTGTGGCAGAATACTCTGGTTGATCCATTTTAAGCTTGGATAGTGATTCCTTCATTCTTTCAGATATTTTTTCTTCTATTGTTTTTTGTAGGTCTTTATCTAAAGAATGTAAATCTTCAGTAACCAATTTTGGTATTATCGTGGTTGTAACAAATGGGTTAAAAGGGGAAGGTATCATTTTCTCATATGGCTTGTATGTTTTGTTTCCAGGAGTTGTATTGTATTCATTTGTAAATGTTTGGAATCTTTCTGACTTAAATTTATTTTTTGGTTTAGATTCTACTGGTGATGGTGATTTAAAAGTTTCTATATTGTCAATATCATCAATTTCTTTTCTAGTTTCATCTATTTTTTCTTCTATTCCATCCATTTGTTGTCCTAATGTATATAATGTTATATTTGTCCAATTTGATTGTAAATGTAATTCTTTAACTATTTCTTTAGTTTTTTCATTCAGATTTTCTGGATGTACAACTGGTTGCATTCCATTTTGTACTCCTCTTGAAAAAAATGCTCTATTGAGAGGTGGTTTCTTAGAGTCATAGTATTGGTCACTAGCAGTTCCTTGTTCTGTCACTTTATTCCATTTTCTTATTCTTTTTGTAATTGTACTTACTTTGTATAAATAATCATTTTCTAAAAACTCAAAAAATGGCACATGGTGTTCCAATTGTATGCAAAATTCATAATATTCTTTTTTAATTATTTCTCTTTCTTCCTTGTTATATGTTTTTAAAAACGGCCCGGTTCCATGGCCACTGGATTCCAGTGGCCATGGAACCGGGCCGTTTTAAAAATAGTTCTCTATTTTCTTTATTTTCATCTTTTATGTATTCCAATTGTAATTTTGATTTGTCTAAAACAAATGGTTGGTTAATTTTAGGGTGTTTATTGAAAACTCGCTATCTTCATAAGGATGCGCAAACATTCCTTCTCTATGAATTCCTTTTGTATTAAACTGAGTTTTAGAGGTTTGGTTAGAGGCTTCTGCTTCACTAAATAATCCTTGACTTGGTGTATTTGATACTTCAGACTCTGATGGAGATTCTTCATTTTTATAAAAATGTTTTTCTGTTGAAACAGAATTCCTAGATGGTTGGTAAGTTCTTGTGGTTGAATGGTCTAAAGAATTGGTTCTTTTGAACTTTAGTTCTACTGATCCATCTTCATATTGAATGATGTGATCAATTTCTTTGTTTTCTTTTGGTTGTATCCTAGGGACAGTTCTAGATGGGTATATCCATTTATCTGGTAAAATAACATCTTTCCAGTTTATGGTCTTTGGTACCAAAAGATTAGCTTTATTTTGATCTATTTCCCAAAATATCGTTTGTCCTGTTTGGTTATTATGATTTATTGCATTGGGACAGAGGCCAGTGTTCATAACCCTATAGTGTAATCTATAAAATACTTCATATATGTGTGATCCTGGTAACATGTGGTAGTTGTGTGTTAAAATATCTAACATTAAAATCTTCATAATATGCAGGTCTGTATGTGATATTGTAAAATTTGGAAAACAATTAAAATAAATTGGTCCATTAGTTAAACTTGTCTCTACTAATCCTAGAATAGAATCTTGGTAATTTACATGTCTACAATCTCTTAATGCTACGTGAATACTAGTATTTAAGCCTTCAACTGTTAATGGTTTGATTGCTACTTGAACTAATCCTATATGTAAAAATTTATATCCTTGTTTTAAATATTTTATTATAGATTTTTTAGAAAATAGGCTCATATTTTGATTGCAGAATATAATGGTACTACTTGTTCTTTTGTTTTAATAGCTCTAATTGATTTAAAATCTAAAATTCCTTTTTTATAAACTTCTGTTATTGGCAAAGATGGTGGTTTCCAATTTGTTAATTTTTGATCATCCCAAGTAATTTCTTTAGATAAAATTGTGCTCTTTGTATTTTTATTATTCTCACCTACCCTTATGTTTAAATCTTCCATAAGTTCTTCCTGGTGATTAGAACCTTTAGTTTTACTACTTCCAAATAAATTCATCTTAATTGTTTGAGACCTTCGGATACACTTCCTTCTCTACTCGTATGCTCGTCTTACAACCTCACTGCTAGTCTTACAACTTTCTTGACACACTTCTGATTTCAAACAATTAATATGTATTTACTTGGTTGTGTAAGCCTAATGGCTCTGATACCAAAACGAACCCAGGGAACATCGAAACAAAGGAGGACATGGTGATAATAATGGAAAATACTACAAAACGAACCCAGGGAACATCGAAACAAAGGAGGACATGGTGATAATAATGGAAAATACTGAACACAGTAATAAAAGAGTAATAAGAATTAACTTACAAATTATTTGCAGAGAATGATTTGATTTTATTGATCAGAACTGGTTACAAGCTTGATTCTTGATTTTGTACTGGTTACAGACTTTGATAAATTTGCACAAATATAAATATTATACAATGGATATTTTTGGATGGAAATATAGAGAAACTAAAATCGGAGATTTTCTTCTGATGATCCTTTGTATGGGGTGGTTGATCTCCTTTTATAGGCAGCTCCGGACTTCAAATGCGGACTTGATTTCCTCCGGACTTGATTTTCGGATTTCAAATTATAGCTTTGTCTTGAAGTAATAGTGGAGGGAAAAGAGATTCCCTGCTTTTGTCATGTCACCTTGTTAATGGCGCATAGTGGAGCACTTGTCCTTTGGTGGAGCACTACGACTTGTCACATCATTCTTTTGGTGGAGCGCTGCGACTTGTCACAATATTGTGCGGCTACAATTCTGCTTGAGAGAAAAAATCGTCTTCTCCTGCAGGATTGTCACTATGGATGGAACTCCCAGCACTACTGGTTTCCTTGAGTTCTGCAAGAATTTTGTCACATTCATCGTCTGATTTGCACGATGCTAATTTTGCCATGATTTGTCTCTTTTTAGCTTGGAAAATTTCATTCTTGGTCACAATCTCATAACTTGGTTTTTTGCAAAATTGTGGCGAGTCCTTGAAGAATTTGTCAACTGCTTTTTTGTTGCAGCCTTCTAAATCTGTCTTGGGCCACCACTTAATTTTAAATTTTCTTACAAGATTTGGCAAAATAAATTCTGCAACATATTGGTCCTTGATTTGGTACTCTATCATCATGATCCATGGAACTTTGAAAATTTGACTGAATACCATCCAAGATGGAGATATCTCAATCTCTTCTGGTAATTCATTCTGGTCGTAAAATTGGTCCTTTGCAATTTGAACTTCATTTGGAACAATGCTTTGATTAATTCCAAACTTGGCCCACCAATGATGGAACCAATGTGGAACAGGATAATGGAAATTATAATTAAAAAATAAAAAATATGAGAGAAAAATTATCAATGGTTTTGTAAAAAGCTCTCTCCCATGCATTTTGATAATCATAATAATTAAATTTTTGAACTTGTCCATTGGTTATATAAAAATCTCTGGCTTTATGAGGTTCTTGACCTTAATCTGAAATGGTTAGAATTTTGAAAATTCGGACTTTGCAATACCTTGCTTTTGTAGGGTTTGCATGGTCAAGAATATATTGGAATCGGGCAGAATTTGTTGTTGTTAAAATGGCTTCATAAAATTGTTGGTTTTTGTTGAAATTATCTGGAATATAGAAATGGGTTTTTGGTAAAAAGGTTTCACAGGCTTGGTAAGAAGTAATATTTGGATTTGACTGAAGGTATTCTCCTTCAATGGTGCAAATAGTTTCTTCTATTGGTTTATAGGCATATTCTGTAGGAAGAGTTTGGACTTTATGTGGACTTTGTGTGGCTAATTTTGTGGAGGCATGATTTGTTTGTAAGGGTGTTGGACTGTTGGTTTTTAAGGCTTGCTTGAAAGTTTGTGGTTGAGTTTTGGGAGGTGATGGTAATTGCGGAAATTGTAGAGGAGAGAATCTGTTTTCAATTTTTGTTTGATTGATTGGTGCACTTGGTCGAGAGAATGGTTTTAAAGAATATGTATTTGTAGTGCAATTGGTCTGTAAAGAATAATTTGTCATTTTCTCATTGGTCGGAAGTTTTTGCTCTAATGATTCTGCAATTTTTGTCATTGGTCGTAATGTAATTTGTCTTAAAGGAATTTTTGTGTTATACACTATTTCCTTCTTGGTCAAAGATTGGTCAATATTTTGATTTGATGATGATTCGCTAAGATTGGTCCTTGGATTGTTTGTATTGTTTGTCTTTGCGCTCATCCTTTCTCTGCAAAAATTCTCTTGTAAGAAAGTCGGGAATAGAATTCTCATTCCCCTTTATATAAACAATTTCAAAATCAAAAATAGATAATAAAGCTTGCCATCTTGCAAAAATTTGTTTTGCTGCTAGATTTTTAACATCCTTAGTTAATACATCTTTTGCGGCTCTACAGTCAACTTTAATTGTAAATTTTTGCTTTAACAAAGCACTCTAAAATTTTGTGACACAAAGAACTATTGCTAAAATTTCTTTTTTAATTGTCGAATATTTTTCTTGCGTAGAGTTCCAAATTCCTGAATGGTATCTAATAATATGTTCCTTATTATCGATTTTTTGTTTTAGTATTCCTCCATAACCTTTGTCTGATGCATCTGTTTCAACAATTTTTAGGGCTTTAGGGTCACATATATTTAAGCATGGTAGTGTCTTGACATGTTTCTTTATTTTTTGGATAATTTTTGTATGTTCTTCACTCCATGGTTTAGGATTCTTTTTTAATCTGTCAAATAATGGTCTACACATTTGCCTAAGATTTGGGAAAAAGTCTGCAACATAATTTAAAGATCCTTAAAATCTCTGTAACTGATTTTTGTCTTTTATTTCGTCTGGAAATTTTTCTGCAAAATCAATTGCTCTTTGTATAGGAGTTATTGTTCCTTTATTTATTTCATGTCCTAAAAATCTTACCTTTGTTTGAAATAATTTCATTTTTGGTTTTGACAAAACTAATCCATTTCTTTTAATTACTTTGTAAAATATGTTCAAATGTTTAAAATGTTGGTCAATGTCATTGCTGAAAACTAAAACATCATCAATATAAACTATAATAAAGTTGTAAGGATTGAATATTTCATTCATAATATTTTGAAATTCACTTGGTGCGTTTTTTAAACCAAACTAGTATCACACCCGTGCGCTGCACGGGTCATAGTTACGTTACTAAATTAAGATCATTTTAAAGAATATAAATTTGTATATATTGGAATGTAGAGATTTCATTATTTTAAAGTACAAAAATAAAATGATTTACTAAATTTGAAATACTTATTTATAAACTACATTACTCGTATAATTCATGTGGTATCCTTTCGTTGTATATCAGGATCTTCGAGTCATTGTAATTTATTACTCCTACAACTACAACATATAGTGGTCCATGACTAAATATAGGTTTCGGTAACAATAATTCAACATGTTTTAGATATTGTCCCTGACAGAAATTCTATTATTTGACTTATCTAAGCAATAATTCCACATATTAATGCATTTATTTTGGAATTTGTAGTTTTTTAAATTTATTTTCATATTTAAATGGTACCATTTACTTACTCTATGGTATTTATTTTCTATTTTATTTTTATATCACTTACCATTTTTATACATGTTCATACTTGTAAATTATAGCATTAATAGTATTAAGTTTAAAATACTTAGCATTCTTACATGTTTAATGCTTAAAGTATTAATAGTATTAATTTATAATTTTTGTATTTTTACCTTTAAATGGTACCATTTACTTAATGTACCATATTTATTTTTTAATTTATTTAATAACACTTACAATTTTACACGTCTCCATTCTAGCTTGTATATTGTAGTATTATTTAATAGTATTAATTTGTAGTTTTTCTATTACTTTTATATTTAAATGGTACATTATCATTTACTTACCGTACTGTATTTATTTTCTAATATATTTTAGAACACTTACCATTTTGATATTTATTTTATTTTCTAATTTATTTAGAACACTTACCTAATTTATTTTAGAACATTTAACATTTATTTTATTTTAGTATTAAAATGGCACCATATGCAAATTATGCTCACGTACCGTACCGTAATTATTTTTAAATTTTATAATTAGAACACTTACCTTTTTAAAAACATTTTCATGTTTGTAAATTATGGTATTGATATTAATATTGCAATTTTTTATTTTATTTTTGTATTTAAATGGTACTAATTACTTAACGAACCATATTTATTTTCTAATTTATTTTAGAAAACCTATCATTTTTAGATGTAGTTTACTTTCTCTTTTATTTTAGAACACTTACCTAATTTATTTTAGAACACTTACCATTTTTTGTTTTCATTTTTAAATGGTGCTATTTGCTTATCGTACCATATCATAGTTATTTTCTTATTTTCTAATTAGAACACTTATCAATTTTAAAACATTTCCATGTTTGTAAATTATAGTATTAATATTAATATCCAGTTTTTTATTTTATTTTCGTATTTAAATGTTACCATTTACTTAACGTACCATATTTATTTTCTAATTTATTTTAGAAAACGTACAATTTTTACACGTTGGTGCTTGTAGATAATATTTTTTTTGAAATAACTAATTAATTTTTATGTAGTATTTTTTGAAAGAAATCATTCTAATCCTGCCCATACTTGTAGTTTTAAATAATTTTATTTTCATATTTTAATGGTAATGTATTTTATTTCCATACGTTAATTTCTTACTGAATTCTTAGTGATTCACTACTATTTAACTTATTTAATTTAAATACTTAAATGGTGTAACATTTAAGAAAAAATGAAAACATACTTATAATAGAAGGAAATTATTTAGGCAAAATCATTAAACTACCATTTATGTTGTCAACACTTTCCATATATGTGTCTCATGTATGGGCAGGAAAATATTCACCTCTTTTTAAATAAAGTATAGATTTAAATTCTTCTCACTAAAAAAATGTAATCAAATATACTATGTTTAATATTTATTTCTTGCTATTTTTAGATGAGTGTTTTTATAATAAAATATACATTTAATCCGATGATTTATTTCCATTTATACTAAAATTTATACTAAAATATACTATGTTGAATATTTTTTTCTTGCCATCCGATGGTGTTTTGTACTAAAATACTTAATTTTACCCATTGATTTATTTGCATTTATATTAAACGATTAACTATGTTGAAAATTTATTTCTAAATATTTTACAAAAATAAACCCTATTGCAAAGCTATTTACTAAACTTTTTATAAATAATATACTAAAGAAAAGATGTCTCAAAGTGAGATAAAGATGTCATTTTTGGAGAAAAAAGATAGTGGAGGTAAAAGTTTGAGAAAAAAGTCGATAAGCATCAACACAACAAAATACCTTCATAATAAGCTCATTGTATAATAAAAGTTTAT